ACCACAATACCGATAAGTGATTAATAAAAGTCAAAAGACCAAAGAGGTCACCTTAATACCAAAAAAAAAAAAAAAATTAATAAATGTTTGTTACTTAAAAAAGTTTATTATTTATTATTTTTACACTTATTATGTTTGTTCATTATATTTTATTTTCTCATGTTTACTTACTTCTATATTAACAACTTCTCTATATACACCACATTTTAACACCAGTCTAACAACTTTCTTACTTTTTACATACTAACTTTTCTATTAGTATATGATATTTTACAAAATAGAATAATAATATTTCTTTACTTAAAAAAATGAAGAAAAAAAATTTTTAATTGAACTACCTATTTGAATATTATTTAGTTTCTCATTCATGCAACATTAGAACTTCGATCACTTTACATTTGTTAAAACTGTTATCATTAGATTATTTTATATATATTAACCCTTGTGCTAAGCTATAGTCACATACTGATGGCAAATTTTGTAGATGCCATAAAGAAAGTCTCCATAATACGAAATATTACATAATTAGCACGTGTATGTAAAATCTTCACGTAAAATCAAAGCATTGCCAGTAACTCAAAATTTGCTTAAGAAATCACTTTTTATGTTTTACAGTACTTTTACACAGTCAGGGATTTTTCAAATTCGTGTAATGCAGATCATTTATCTTTTTTTAGTGAAAGATCTTCAATTTAAAATAGAAATCAGTTTTAGAATAATCCCTTAGTATATTGCAGATCATTTCTAAATCACGTAAAATACCTGACTACGTTTAGCGAAAATAACAATAAATAAATGTTTACCAAGTAAATTCTTTTATCCACGACTTCGCAATGTCTAATGAAATTAAAATACACAAATATTTTGACCAAGATCCTGCAAATTGGAGCATTATCGGGTTTCTAAATGAATGCGAACTAGAGCCTATTGAAATGAAAATAGATTCTTACATAAAAGGGCTCAAACAAATCGTTTGCTATGAGCAAGACATCAAGAAAAAAAATGCCCAGGTGCTACTTGACAATTATCAAAAGGCGAGTACTAATCTTTTTTTTATTAGCTTAAGAAAGTGGCGTGACGTGGACCTTCTTGGTAGGCGTTCATTCAAGGCTTTTTGCCGAGCCACGAAACTGGTGTTGGCGCAACAGTGACCTCACTTGAGTTATCTGATGCCAAAGGCTTCTTGCCGACCCAACCTCGGACCACTGGTGTTGGCGCAACAGTGACCTCACTTGAGTTATCTGATGCCAAAGGCTTCTTGCCGACCCAACATCGGACCCACTGGGGCACAGGTGACCTTCTCGGTTGGTTGATGTTCTGGTGGGACGGGAAATCGAGACAAAGAATGTTACTATTTCTAAATCTTCCATTTTAGGATCCAAAACAAGACCGCAAAAAAGCAAGAGTGGGGGAGAAGCGCTCGCGTAGTAAAACTTACTTCCACCAGCCAATTATTGGAGATGGAAATGTAGTTGGTTTTAATAGTAATATCAACAGCGGAACTTTCACTGGATTATCAAAAAGAGAGGTACAGATAACAGGAGGATTACATGACTAATCCTTCACTCGGTGTGCAACATATAAAAAAATTATTTTACAATACCAAAATAATCCATTTTTATCATAGCATGTACTAGCGGAATGATCTGGTATTGTAAAATAATTTTTTTATATGTTGCACACCGGGTGAAGGATCAGTCGTGTAACATCGACGGTTCCTCCTGTTGCTACATGGATTACGATATTGATTATCCATTAATCAGCGATGATAGAGCCATTAATTTAGCCGAGAGTTCTAATTTTTCGTAAGATAATTCTTCGTCATCAAGTTCTGTTTCCTTCGATAACCCCTTTGATAACCAATCACAAGATCTTAATAATAGCACAATACCTGGTTCAGAGACTGAATCCATTAATGTATTTAATAGTATAAGCAGTGAAGCAAAGGATCATGTGGTACGGATGCGTAATTTGTGAGAATTGTGGTCGGTCTGATATAACTCTTTCCTTTTGTATTTAGTCTGATGACGATTTCATGCCTATCCAATCAAAACAGAAAAGAAATTTATCTTTACCAAAGGTCAGTTAGAATTTATCTCTATGATGATAAGGATTTGGATTTCTCTCAAAAATGGCAACTAATTTGTGTAATTCCTTTTTAGGCTGATGATAATAAAGATCCTAAGTCAACTGATAGCAGTTCAAAACAGCGTAAGAAGTCATCTGGAAAAGCAGAAAAGGTGAAGAATTTGTAGTCTTTTCAGAGTAACTTAGCAAATGTTAATTTTTAATGATATTTTTAATGATCGTTTTTAATTTCATTTACAGTCAGACATATCAGAAAAAATTGAATATCAGGATGAATCAGTCACAAAAACAAATAGGCAAAAGAAAAATAACAATATTAGACGTATATTTGTGTTGGAATGGAATTTATATGAGGACTTGAAACGAATAGTTACAGTATGTGCATTTAGATATTTACGTACATAGCATTAATAGATTTTAAATTCTGTACAGGAGTGGATCATTGATGGCACAAACATAAGTGAAGCATTTTTTCGTTTCAAAAGTTTTGCTGAATCAAAAGCAGATAGATATGAGTTGAAATTCTTCGAGCACCCCAGCGAAATTCTGTTAGTTAACACGTTATTTTTTTATGTGATGTATATATATTAACAGTTAGGAATATTAATAATAATGTATCAGATTATTAATGTTCAGTGCTCTAAATTCTATACTACTTTTGGAGAAAAACTCTGTCTGTGTATAATTAAATATTTCATCAGCTATTCGCACAAAGATTTTTGAGCAAATGAGGGCAATATGCCCGAAATACGATTTGTCAAAAGTGGTTGAAGATATACAGTATATCATCAATGTGCTCAAGTTGTTCAGTAAGTTTAGACTTAAATAAACAGAACCAGTATTTTGTTTGGGCTTGAAATATATGCATTATAGTATTATTTGAAATTTGAACCTATCTACTATTTTATAATGTTTAGGAGTACATTTATATATATTAGCTTGTATTTTATATTTTTAATTATAAATTTTTTGCAGTTATTGTTTTTCAAATATGGACATCATATTAAGAATTTTTTAAGTAGTCTTTTTAATTAGTGTTTTTATAGATTTTTCAATATATATCAATTGCAAATCTGTTACCAACTTTATTTAATTTGTATTACAAATTACAACTAATAAGTCAATATTTTTTAATTAACATTCGACTTAAGACATGTTAATATTTCTAATTAAGTCAACATTTTATTTAAGGTATACAAAGTTTAATATTTAATATTTATTACCAGTAGGAATTGAATCTTGGACCTTGTTATTTGGAGTATATTAACTTGATCACTTCATTAAATTATTACATCTTTTAATGCTTTATTATTTATATTGTGTTATTTATATTATTTTTAATAAAGTTATTTATAAATATACTTACAATTATTAATATTTATTTTACAATACTTTATTATACTTATCTTTTAAAAAAACTTGGTTATATTATCAAACTTGTTAAAAGACTTATCTAATATTCTAATATCTTTAGTATTAATCAAAATATTACTTAAATTGATAAACAGTTATAATAGAAATAAGTACTATATTATATATTATTCTTCTTAATAATTACTTAAACTAAATTAGTATTAAAATAGGTTAAAGAGTTTTAAATAAACAACATTTTTGATTTTGTATCAATATATAAAACAAATTATTACTAAGAAATCAGAAATATGCAGAGGACCAGGTTAATGACGGTCAGACCCAACGTACAGGACAGGCTATGGTATCCTGCGCAGCTGTGCAAGTCGAGCATACGGTGAGCGAATCTACAGAAGAACTCTCTACTTCCTTGAACTCCATTCCACCATCCCACATCAAGGAAG